CTGATGGGGAGACCTATGCGACTTCCATCCTCCCCACCCTTACCACCTTCTCAGATTAACATCCATTTAGCTGATGATCTTGTATTACAATATTGTCAAGCATTAATGAAATGTGTTAAGGCCTTTCGTTTACAGGTCCAAGAAGCTTTACCCAGAAAGCCTGAAGAAGCCTGCCATTCCTTACAGCCAGGAAATTGGTTTCATGTAAAAATCCACCAAAGAAAATCAGCTTTAGAATCTCGCTGGAAAGGTCTGTTCCAAGTTCTTCTCACCACTAACACTGCAGTAAAGTATCAGGGACTATCTACTTGGATCCGCGCGTCGCACTGCAAAAAGACTGTTCCTCCTGACGAAACCAAGGATTAAAGATTAAGACTCCAAGAAAAGAGCCCATTAATAACCAAACATGGAGTCCCTTCTATTGACTGTTTGTATTGGACTTTTAAACCTGGCCTATGGGAATGTGTTTTTGTCTTTAATTAACCAAATTAGGATAGACTTAAATGTCTCTCGTTGTTGGATATGTAGTCATGTCCCTATCCATTCTACCGGAGGGATACCCATGATACCAGTAGCCTTGAATGCGACCCAAATGTCAGCTCCTTATTATTCATCCTTTCATGGGAACGAAACTTGGCAAGATATAAATTGTAACCAAGCTAACTATGTACGACTAGCGTATACCACCTCTGGAAAGTTTTGTTGGTCCTGTAATAGATCTCGTGTTGCAGTAGGAATCAGTAAGTGTGAAGTAGAATTTAAGGTAGATGGTGCTTGGCTCTCTAATGGTTCCTGGATACCCAGTTATTCTCCCATTTTGGCTGGATATTTAGGTTATTATTCAGCATGGATGTTAAAACCAGTTTGTAACCTTGCGGTTACCGCACTAGCTGGTCACTATTTTGTACGTGAAAATAAGACCTATAAAAATCTTCCTTCCGGTTGGGGAGGAACATGCTATGTCTCTGCAGCATATCCTGCCTTTACTATTAGATCTCACTTACCTAAAGGAAGAATTCGCAATGTTCGCGAAATCACAGAAAATCAAAGGTTTTGGGGTATAATGTTCCCCAACTATGGCGCAGGCTTAGCTATGTCCGAAATAAAGAAAGTTGCATCATCCCTAGAGAAAATAGCTAATGCTACTGCCATTGGTTTTCATGAAATAAGTAAAGAAATGAAAGAAATGAGACAAATGACTCTACAAAACAGACTCGCCTTAGATTATATATTAGCTAGCAAAGGAGGTGTGTGTGCTTGAATAAAATCAGAATGCTGCGTTTATATACCAGATGCTTCTAGTGCTATTGAGAACCAGGCCAAAATTATTGAGAAAGAAGCTGCTAAACTACACCAAACTGATCAATGGAGTCTTTGGGACTGGTTTGGCAGACTTGGGACCAAATTATTTTATATTGCAATCATGGTCCTCGGGTTTATTCTCTTTCTACAAGTACTGCTTTTGCTGCTACGCAATTGTAACCTTAGTGCATCCCACAGAAGATGCAACAGATATGTCTAACGTGATGCTGGGTTAATTGAGATTAGTCTCACAGTTGTTCCGAAGGGAGCACTGGGAGATTACCTAAGAACAAGTTTCACTGTGCCTCGAAGGATGCATAAGTCAAACTGTTCTCCCATTAGCTCACTTGCAGTCTGTTGCCCAACACATGGTTACAAAAAAATTTCACCAGTTGTACTATAAGTACAAAAGGGGGGAATGTGGAAGAAGAAAACCCTAGGCCTTCATTTCTGCTGACTTCTTGAGTTAGTGCACTATTTGCTAATGATTGCTTTTTCCCTGCCTATTTTGCAATCTGCTCTTTCTCCTGCCCTTTTTCCCTTGTTGAGCTGAGTAGACCTATGCGGTCAGTAGGTCAAACCACAGTCTATGCTCTCTTGCAACTTTCTTGTCCAAACCATTTTTTCTTTGACTTGTTATATCTTGTGTCATGTGACCTGAACTGAAACGTATAGAAGGCTTGCTTCAATTGTCTGTTGCGGTGGGGCACGCGGGACTGATAAGAGGAAGTTCTGTCTGTCCGGTGCTCTCCCCAGTAGCTACTTGTAAATAAAGGTCTCTGACAACTTCGTGATCAAACAATAGAATGAAGCCTGTTTCTTCCACACTGTGTGTGTGTTAAGGTGCACCCTCACTCAAAGCAGGGTAGTTCAAACAATGCTGCCTTCTTTGCAGTTTTTCCACTCCTCCCCCAGAGCACTGGGATTGGAAGAGACCTCAGGGAAGGATGACAGTCCTGGCCAGCTACACGGTCAATAATGAGAGCCCTCCTTCTGCCTCCCTCTCCTTACTTTCTGTTCCTGTTTCCCTGCAGGCAAGCCCAGCTTGAGCTTTGAAACTCGAAACGTTTCGAAATTTTCAAAACGTTTTGACTTACCTCATTTCATTCCGAGGCTGTTTTGCAGCTCTTTGTTTCATTTCGATTTCGCTGTTTCAAGCTTGAAATGAGTCAAAACAGCGTCGAAATGAAACTGACGGAGAAATTTTGCACAGCCCTAGTAAGTATTTCGCCTTAGAGCAGGACTCTTGGTGAATCCTAAGTGGACAGAGGTACCTTACCATGTGCAGCACTGCTTCTGATATCTAAGCTCCAGAGAGGGACAGGAGTTCAGGCATCCCACTCTGTTTTCTCTTACCTAACCTTTAGTGACCCTCTGCTTAGTGTCCTGGCTGGTTTGGTTTCTGTTCTGAGGCAACTAACTTTCTTCACAGAGTGTGTGTGTGTGTGTGTGTGTGTGTGTGTGTGTGTGTGTGTGTGTGTGTGTGTGTGTGTGTGTGTGTGTGTGTGTGTGTGTGCGCCTAGATATCTGCCGAAATAGAAAAGTTGTCAAACAAATACAAGCAGTGCCAAAAGCAAAGTGGAGCTGAGACTATTTTAGAGTTCTGTTTCTGAGAAATTAGGTTTCTCACATCTTAGTTGCGCAAAATTCTACTGATTGCAGTTTGCATTTGGAATAAAGGTCTGCTAACAAAACAGAGGTCCTGAACCATATAAAAAACGTGTGCAGGGTCTGTTTTTAATGAAAGTTTGTCATTGACTGGACTCTGTATGGGCTGATCCCAAAATTGACATAACAATTTGCCTCCCTTAAATTAATATATCAAACTGAGAGAAGAGACCAAAGTGTATGTGTGATTATATTTCATTGGCTTTATATACCTTGTAATAATACATAACAGAATGGCAAGAGGATTGCAAATATGACCTCTATGCCATAACTCAAAGTTTCTTGTTTCAGTCCTTTGCTTCTCTTTGTCCTCCATTCTGATTTCTTTTCTTTCCCTTTCCTTTCTGTTTTTTTGAGTTTTTCCATCTGGTTTCTTTCCTACACCAAATCCCAGCTCCTAATCTAGCATCCAACATTTTTTTCATTTGATTCATTCAGATGAGGAGCAGTTAAAGAGTTAATTCTTTTTACCATCCAGTCAGATTAATAGGAGTTGGGAATTGACACTTTGGAGTCATTGCTTCAGGCTTCTGCATCAACTGTACTGTGTTCATGTTGGGAAGGGTATTGCTATACCAGCCCTGTAACTTTTTGTGACACTCAAGATAAACAATAAACATGGGACAGGCCACTTATGCGAGTTGTGTTTCCCTCTGTTTTGTCACATAATACTGATTTGCTAATAAGCTATGTACTGGGGAGTAATTTCCCCCTTTTATGTTTAACAGTTTTTTTACCACCTATCCACACATTTCCTTATCTTAAAAGGAACCTTTGAACTTATCTTCCAAATGTGCTTGTGCTAGTAACAACCATAGGTATTGTCCAAGTCTTTAACAGTGATGTGAACTTGTGCTCAAATGTTCTTTCAGCATTCTCACAGCCGCTAGCTACAGCAAGCTAGGCCACTGTATAGAACTGATCTGGCTTAAATGCATCTCAAAAGCACTACTGTACCTTCCACACGTGGACCTAAAAATGAGGCTACTGGCTAATGGGTTAGGAGAGTTTGAAGTAGAGAAGTGAAACCCTGTCTCATAATTTGATGAGTGGGATGCTGTGGCATTGCTGGGAGTAGGGGTGGGCTGCACTCAGCCGAGACTGGATCTGAACACTGTTTAAACCAGTGGTTTTCAATCCTGTTTAACTCGCAGCACCCCTGAACAGGCTTGTGGCAGCCCTTTCAAAATGCCTGCTCTTTGTTTTCGCTCTTTTTCTTCACCTCTGAAAAAATATTGGAGTTTTTCGGTTGCAAAGAACATGGGAAGCCCACAGCTACAGCCTAAAAGCTCCAGCTTTCTCTTGGGTATAGGTTGTAGCTGTGTTGGTTAGAGATAAGCAGAGAAGGGTCTTTGGGTAAAGCTAATATATTTCATCTGATATCTGGCTTTCTCTTGGGACTCTTGCTAGCTGACCTTGCCCAGGAGCCTTGTGGCACCCCTGACAGGATCCCTTGGCATCCCAAGGTGCTACAGGCCTCCTCCTCGCTGAAAAACCCAGGTTTAAACCATTCCTGACAACAACCCTCAAACCCGCGCTGCCCTTGGCTAACCTGGGCCCAGACCCGGGTGTCCCAGGGACCCGCCCCCGCAGGAGTATCCCGTGAGACCGCGAGGCAGGGCCTGGCCGAGGAAGGTTGGGGGTGGGGTTTCCCCTACACGCTACTTCCGGAAGCCGGGGTCTTCCGCCTCGACCTTCCGGCCAGCAGGCCAATGGGCGCAGACGCCGCGCTGTCTGTCATGGTCGCCTTCGCGTCGCGATCCAGGCGCTGAGGGAGGCACCGTGGCCTCCACCCGTCTGCTCGCCGGGCACTGCAGCAGCCATGGGCACGGTGCAGGCGCGGGTAGGGCGCTCCTTCCCCTCCGCCTTTAGCCGCGCGCGCTTGGAGGCACCGGGCGGGGGCCGCGTCCGCTCCGCGACCTCCGTACAGCAGCCGGGCCTGCCCACTCCCCCTCCTCCGCGGGGAGCGCTTGCTGCCGGCCCGACCTTCCCCCACCTGGGCCGCCGGGATCGGGGGGGAGGGGCGGTCGGTAACGGTCGTAACGGGAGAAAGCCCTTGCCCCCCGGCAGGCATAGGAGCGCGGGGAGGGGTCTCCCGGCCGGGCCGCGTCACGCGGGGGGTGCGGCTTGAGCCTGTCGGGCGTGGCCGGCTGTCCGGCTAGCAAGGCCGCCATCGAAAACCGGGCGTCTCCAGTAAGGGGCCGGGCCTCCTATGGCCCTGGCGATAGGGAACAAACGCTGCCTTTGTTTTCTGAGGGCAGAGCCCGCATCTTCGGAGGCGCCTTGAGCTGGAGAGGCTCTGGCCCTGGTGTCGTGTGGAGAGCCGCGGGGCTGGTGGGCAAAGTTCAGCCCCGGGCTTACCAGCAGCCCCTGCCCACGTGGATGCGGCTGGTTTCCATGGAGACCCCAAGAGGGGCGGGGCGGGGCTGGGGTTTCTTTAGAAACCCCAGGAGTGCCAGGGCCGACAGGTGGGGCTGGGGTTTCTGTGGAGACCGGCTGAAGAGTGCTGGCAGGGCGCGTGGTGCTGCTCTGGGGCTGGGGCCAGAATTTCACAGGAGTGATGGGGATGTGCAGGCAGTGCATTGTGGCTCTGCCATGGCTCCAGACTACACTGTCACTGCTGCAGAATCTCAGCCCCTGCTCCCTGCCCAGCTACATGCCCTGCCAGCACTGTTTGGGTGGTCTCCATGGAAACCCTGACCCTATCACAGTCCTGCTTCTCTTGGGGTCTCCATGGATACTGTGGACAGGGGCTGCTGGGAAATGGATTTTAGCCACTGGCTGGATCCACCATTTTGCCCACCCATGCCTTTTTGCCTTTGGAGGTGGCTGGGGTTGGAAGACTGGTTCTGTGGCCCTGTAGCCCAAAGGCACATCTCAGCGACAGGGCAGGACAGCAGACCAACAAGGGTGAAGAAAGTGCTTCCCTGCCCACACATTGTCTTGGGCACTGCAAGCTGTTGCATCATTGGAAGCAAGAATGTACTGAGTGCGGGATTGGTCCTTTGTTATGGCCACCATGAGCATACCCTTATTATAACTCACAAGGGCAAAACCTTGGGGTGAAAAAGTAAAGCTTGTGTGCAAAGGTTTCACCAAGTTCTAACAATCAGTGATTTGATTTAAATCTTAATATAGAATCAGGTTATCCCACAGCTGGTTTTCATGCTTTTCTTTGAAAGAGCCAATACCAGTTGTTGTGGGGGAAAAGATCCCAGGTTAACTCCATCCGGAGAATGGTAACTCTTAACTTTCCAGAAGTTTAACCTGCTTGGAGTGCTGTGACGTCAGCTGTTCTGGTGACAACCCTATGTGTTGCCCAGGTCTTCACTAGTACCACGAACTTGTGCTGTCACGTAACGTTTTTTTCAGCATTCTCTATACAGCAAACAAGGCCACATTGTGATGGAACTGATCTGTCTTAAATCCATATCTGAAAAGTGCTACTGAATGGCAGTGTTGCATTTTTAACAGTTACTTGGAGGAAAGCTGGTGAGAGTAAAGACGCTCATATTCACAAATCAAAAAAGATGTAATGTATAAAGCAAAGTGGCCTGCTGAAAGCCTCTTTTCATTTGGGTAGTGAGGTATTTGGCACCTAACCCCCTAAAAACCTGGTCTGAAATTTTGTACATTGCCTGAAGTGCTGAAAGCCTCTCTTAAAGATAAGCTTACCTGCTAAAAAGAGGTTCTTTACAACTGATTCATACAGTCTTTTTGGAGGGCTTGTGAGTAAACAGAAAAGCTATGTGCTGAAATTTTACCCAGGGAAAGATCTCTTTTTCTGCAAAACTCTATATATGTGAAGAACTGCATCTGTTTTTTGGCAAGCATAACACATGCATGGTGTCTTAATGAGGAAAATACTCATCTTGGAAATTATTTATTGTATAATAAAACTCTGTTAGTAAGCATGCATGATTAAAAAAAAAAAGCAGCATATTCAATTCTCAGTGTTTTATCTCTCCTATTACGGTTTCATGATTCATTGTGGTGGGGAGGATGTCCAGATTTAGAAAAATATTCTCATTTGCTATAGAAGAAACAGCTCTTTGGTACAAGTTATTTAAGTTATAAAATAGAAAACACATTTTTATTTTTCTGTGTTGTTTAGAGTTTGGACCCTCTTCCAATGAGTGGACCTGATTTAGGTGCTTTAGGAGAAGAAGCTGATCTAATTGAAGTTGAACCTGAAACCAGACAGGAAATTCTTGAAAACAAGGATGTGAGTATTTAGGCAAAGGTTCTGAATGTATTTATTTATTTATTTTGTATGGAATGTCATAAATCAGTGTTTTATTTGGGATGTAAAAGAAGTAAATTAAATCCTATACTTGGTGTTCCCTTTGTGTTTTGCACAAGAGAAATATTGTTAAAATACATTTAAAACTATAAGATCATGTTAGAATGTCCATTTTTAAGAACTCTTCTTCCATTGGCTTGGTTCATGGTAAACCCTATTAGAAGTTTGATAACATTTCTTTCCTTAATAAAAACAATGTTTAGTCCATTGCATGGGCCCACCATTATTATTGAAGATCTGCCAGTAAAAGTTAGGTGGCTGCTATTCTTTATTTTATAGAATTGGGGGAGGGAATATTTAAGCATCTGTGGTCTTTTGGACAGAAAGCCCGAAGTTATACATACACAAAAAAAGCTGGAGAAATAAAGAGGATGTAATCTATATAGTCCATTAGCAGACAGTAAACTATGTGCTCTGCTGTCTAGGAAAAAATGGCTAAAATCATCTAAGATCTCAGCATTAAAGACCATGCAATGTATTTTAGTCTACAGTATTTAAGTTGTGAGAGACTATTTGATAGTTACCCAAGTACTTCATTCATTTTTTTACTCTGTATTTAAACTTTTTGCTTAGTGTAAAAGAATTACACCAAGTATTATACTGTTGGTCTTGTTAATTTAAAATCAGTATATGATTTCAGCTAATGAAATATTTCCCTCTTTCGTGTTGTTGTGACAAGGTATTAAGCAGAGTTCACAGATTCAATCTGGCAATCCACACCATGAATGCTTTTGCTATGGTCTTGAACTTATGACTTTTGGGTTGTTAACTGTGTGCCTTAGTGCCCGTGCTACTGTAGCCCACAGCTAATGACTGATTTGTCTATAAAGATTTTGACTACATTTCTGAAAATTATGGGAGCTATCAAGAACTATAATTAGTTCTTTATTTGGAGTTAACTACTACTTTTTTTCCATGCACTTCCTGTTGAAGTGCACATACTCTAGGGTTGCTGGTTATTATATGTTAGTGGTAATTCGTTCACAAATCTGGTAGTCTTGTAACTTTATTCAGATAGCAGTGTTATTTCTGTCTCAGAGCTTTTAATTTCCTCTCAAGCAGATATTTAACATTTTGTTAATAGTCATCTGTTATGTTTAGGTGGTGGTTCAACATGTACACTTCGATGGACTTGGAAGAACCAAAGACGATATTATCATGTATGAAATCAGTGATGTTTTCAGGGCTAAAAACCTGATTGATGTAAGTATGGCATGTTTATAAAACACTACATTGTCTTGGAAAATGGCCATGCATTAGATACCTATTAGAGAAGTAAATCTACAGTCTGAAAGTAGATTTTAAAATGGTTGGGAAATATTATCAGTTTAGCATGCAACATTTTTGTTATTGATAATTATCAAGGAGGAAAAGGACTTTTAAATCCCAGGTTCAGCACGATAGAAAAGCTATTTATTTTCTCATTAACTAGGTTCAAGATTAATGACCAGTGGCAAACTTAGAACACTATGATGCTTTTTTTAGAGTCACTGTCAAGAGTGAAATCATGCTTTATGTAGTTGATTATCTCAATTTGGTGGCTTAAAAAAAGATAAGCTATGATAGTTTTTATTCTGGATGGCAGCCTTAGCAGTGTGGATCAGTCTAATACCATTCAGAAGGGTGTAACGGTATTCTGGAACAATATTGGTGTGGTGATTTGGAGAACTCTTACTGCTGCTGTCCATACTGCTCTTAGAGCTTTTCAACACTGGGAACTTGATTGCCCTAATGATACTGCTGTAGTTTAGCTGGTCAGTTTACCCATACAGACAGCCATTGTTTTCTGTAGACTGGAGGCTGAAGTATTTTATGTAGAACATTTTGTTAAGCCTTCACTTCAGCATTTAACGTATGACTTTATCTACAGTTTCAAAAACAAAGTTGTAGTATATAGTTGTTTTATGATCCTGCCATGTGTCGTATGTGGGTTTTTACCTTTTAAAAGCATGATTTGAAGAAATTGGATACAAAAGGATGTTTTATAAAGGTTATGAAGCAAGCAGACGTTTGAAGTGAATTCTCACTGTGTTTAATTTATCCTGCACTTGGCATCCTGAAGTGGTTTCAGGAGGTACATACATGTCCTTCAAAGTCTGTGAATGATGCATGGATCTCCTTACATATTCAGCCATTATACTAGCTATTTTCTATTGAGATTCAAGGCTGAATTCCTTATCTTGTTCTCTAGGTAATGAGAAAATCACATGAAGCTCGTGAAAAGTTGCTTCGACTGGGAATTTTTAGACAGGTGGAAGTTCTGATTGATACTTGTCAAGGTAAATATTGCAGTACTGTGAGTTATGACTTATCATTTATATTTCCTTTTATATAGAGAGAGCGAGGGAGAGAGGAAACAAGCTTCTGTCAGTGTTTATAATACAAATATCCTCATCCATAGTTATAGAAACTGGGGCAAGGCTGAAGAAACACTTGCTCAGTATTGTATTGGAAATATTTGGTAGAGCCAATAAAACTCGCATCCTTTGAGCTTCTCTTCATAACTTTAACTCTCAAACCATACACTGTTCCTGTAACACCTTATATTAGGAACAATATAACTTTTTCATTCACAGTACATTTTTGTGGTAAAACCATAGTACTGGATTATTTGGTAAATGGACTGTATCAAAATATATTTCTGCCTTGTAACAGAGCTAAAGTTGCATAGAAAACCTCAATTTTGGCATTCCTTAGCTTGGGTTCAGAAGCTTTACAACCTTATTAATGTATTCTCTGTATAGCCATGTGTATGTGGAGCTGTATGTATTACAGGTGTTGGCTACAAATGTCTAACTCCGGGTCCTTAAAATTCTGGTTTATTAGGTGGATTGAAACACTGTAATGAAGTTAAATCATAAACCTTGGGGCTGGTCCCCACACACATGCTCACACACACAGTAGCAAGCTACAAGAGTCGGGTATACCTATCCTACAAACGCTGAAGTCTGCCGCCGATGGCCAGTTGAGGCTTCTTTCAGCGTGGTGTTATCCTTCAGAAGCGGGTCGCCAGCTGGTCCTTCTGGCTGGACAGGTCGGGTGCTGGTCAAGTTGGAGATCAAGAGGGCGCCACTGAGGGTCACTTTTCACTGCTTTTTTATCTGTCCTTGGCAGACTTTGGTGAGTTTTCAGGTTTGCCCAATCCAGGGGTTGTTGACCCTCGTGGGACTTCCCCCCTCGGTGGCTACTGGATGGCATCTGTCAGCCCCAGGGGTCATCCGCATGTACATGCAGGTTTGGGAGTCCGTTGATGAATTTAGAATAGGGCTCTTGGAGCAGTCGATCTGGAGATATTGCGCCCCAAAGTTGGTCCCTGGCATTGATTAACTCAGGCCAGGGCTTCTAGCCCTTGATCAGTGATGTTTAGAGATGTCCCGGTTGCTACATTGTCTCCTATTGATTTCTTCTGTTGGTTGATCTGCGGTTTCCCTAGGTGTTAATTGTTGTCTGCTACTGTGTTACACATTCAATCACTGATTCACTGCTCTTTCAGGGGCCCGCCTGCTACAGGGAAGCGGCAGTTTGACTCCTGCCCTTGTTAACATTGTTACAATGTATAACTTACTTATGAAACTAAACACATTTTGAAAGTTGAAAGGCGAGGAGTATAAAATATAAGCTACAAAAGTAATGCCATGGCACACAAATAGATAAAAAATACCAAAATGCAAGGGGAGATACAAAATGCACACATCCAAATTTTAAAACAATTCCTTATCTTAAAGTGAAAGAAAAAGGAAGGAAGAAAAGGTAGAAGAAGAGAAACATATCCAAAGAGGGGAGAGCAAATGCAGGCAAGAGGAAAAGGGGGCTTTCTGCTACACAGGTAGGGCTGGTAACATAGCCTACCTTTTAAGTTGCCTGATACTTTCCACTGTAAGACCATATTTAGGGTTGTTTATAACTTTGTTAGACTTCAACCATTCAAACTGAAATATTTTGTACTTCATGCCTACCTTAGTCTGAATACACAGAAGCATGTGGGCCTATAACAAGTCGACATTTTTAGGCAGACATTTTTTAGGCAGACATTTTTAGACATTTCCAGGAGAGAAATAACAGACTGGTTAGATGTGGGTCATCTGTTCTCCCAATCAACATTCTGTGTAATCCTGAAGCAATTAATTTTGTAATCGTATAATGAAATTGTGCTGCCTTTCCTAGTTGCAAACTCCATGCGTCAACATTCAGACATAATGAAAACAGAGCAGTGAAACTTGTGTTATACTGTTTCTAATAGTGATTCACTTTCTGTTGCTGTTACTTATTCCAGTATCTTTCAGATGTAGAAAAAAAATCATTAGGTGCATTGAATTTAAAAATATGTTGTATATAGTTAGTGATTTGGTAAAGTTCAATATAATATATATTATATATTGGATTTCTTAACTGTTGTTCATTTAATTTTTTAACTGTTACATGCTAGCAGAGCGGATCTTGAGCCAACATTATCAAAAAAAGCCTATTTAATTAGGGAAGTAGTCTGTCACTGAAAATGAGAGGCCTGCAATGCTACTGATTACTCCATAGAAGTGTGACATCGTAACTGCTTCGAGCAGGGGTTGGCAGTGTTTTCTAGTCGGGGCAGGGGCTGGAATGACTTAGTTTGAATCAAAGGAACATTGGGATATGGCTGCTATTGCCCTTGCTCAGCCATGGTGTGGTTTGGCAAGAGCACTCCTGCAGGAGCCCTTGCTGTTTGAATATGGTATAGCATGGGCAGAGCTTCTCCCTCTGCTGGAACCCTAGGCAGTTGACTGAGGTGGAATACAAAAAGAGCCTCCCCATTGTCAAATGTTGCCTACGGCATGGTTCTGCCTCCCCTAGGTTGCCAATCCCTGACTTAAAGGAAAGAGGGGTGCCCTCTATCTACCATTACAGTAGAATAGCTCAGTTAGAACAGGACTGGACCACAGATTTTTTTATTTTTTTTTAATGGATTGTACCATGCTTTCTGAAAGACATCTGGAATGCTATATTGGGATTATTGTTCCACTGACTATTTCACATATACCTTATACTAAAAGTAAAACCTATGCCTATTAAAACCCTGCAGCACTTTTATTGAGTAGGTATCAAATGCCATGTTATGTTAGTTATTACTTAAAGGGTCAGTGTTATAAAAACCAAACTTTTTTGCTTGAATCAGATGTTAACAAAGACTACTTTTCTGAGGCCAGCGTTCTGTATCGTGCAGTCTCCTTTGAGTATTTAATTCAACTAGTTTCACATTCCAAAGGAATATTTCAATTAACTTAAAGTGTCTTTTATCCAGCTATAAAGCAATATTGTGCAAACAGAAGACTCTTGAAGAAATAATAAATGTTTGTATTTATTTAGGAGATGATGCCCTTCCAAATGGTTTAGATGTAACATTTGAAGTAACAGAATTGAGAAGACTAACTGGAAGCTATAACACTATGGTCGGCAATAATGAAGGCAGCATGGTATGACTGGTTTTAAAATGTTGCAATTTTTTTTTAATGTCAGGCAACTTACATTAATTTGTCAAACCTGAGGGTTTATGGGTTGTGTAAATGAAAACTTCATCTTAACCAAATTATTTCTCCAGTATAGCTTTGCTAAGAAGTTTTAGCCCTTACCTACATGAGTAAATCTGTGTGATGCATCCCCTCTGTGCCTGTTAGCTCCCAAAATGGAAGTGATGTGGCATGACACATGGGCCAGTAAACTGCCTGTTGGCAGAACATACTGACATACGTGCAGCTCTCCATGCTAATGTTACTATTTTGCTTCAAGTTTGGAAGCTGGCTGGTATGGCATATCTCAGCACAGCATTGCCTCACACTGCTTATGCACAGTGTCCCTACAGTTTTCATTCTGGACCTGCACTGAGAGCATTCAGCAGTCTTTACACAATGGAATATTTTTTTGTTCTGCCCAAATAGGTCGCATTCACTTTCAGATTTGTATCTTATGCCTATATCTAGATCTGGTCCAATACACAGGTTCTCATTTAGCCAAATGGTCAAATAAGTACACTTGAGGAGTTGTGTTTTGAATTGGAGATTAATGGACTATTTCTTGTATTTTATAAATTAATTAAAATATATGTTGAATACAATTAGCTTGCTTTATGTACTTAAAGTTTGAACAACTTGTTCTCTGCCACCAATTTAAAATGGACTTTTTTTGAAGGAATATTAGGTTATTTTACTTCCAAATTATGTTTCTTTTCTTTTCCTTTTTCCTTTTTTATTTTGAAGATCAATACCAGTTGTTACATGATGAGAAGTATAGAACTTTCCAGATCCTAATATGGTAAAACATATTTGCATTGAATTCATATTTTATAGCCAATTACAATGGAAGGAACAGGCTAACTTTAATTTCAGTCCTGTCTGAAAATTGTTAATTAATTGATATTACAATTAATACCAAAGAGTTTCAAAGTTGAATGAGAGTGGAGGAAAAATAAATTCTTCACCTCTGATGTATTTTAAAACACCCTCTACAGCAGTGTTTCCCAAACTCTGACAGACTGCGCCACTAATTTAAAATGATACAACCTTGCATACCACCAGCACATTTTTCACTTGAACCTTAAGTACCACCAGCAAATTTTTGTCATATAAAGTAATTTTAATAAATCTGTTAATGTGTACCACTGCCAGGTTGTCTGCATACCACTCGTGGTACCTGTACCACAGATTGGGAACCACTGCCCTACAGAAAGTTTCTCTGTTTTTCCTATACAGTAGCTCCTCCTTCTGTTTGTTTTTATTACAATGCAGTAGAGGAAAAAAATATAGAATCATAGAAAATTAGGGTTGGAAGGGACCTCAGCAGGTCATCTAGTCCAGTCTCCTGCTCAAAGCAGGACCATCCCCAATGAGATCATTCCAGCCAGGGCTTTCTGTCTGGGGCTTAAAACCCTCCAAAGATGGAGATTTCATCACCTCTCTAGGTAACCCCTTCCAGTGCTTTACCACTCTCCTAGTGAGAGTTTTTTTCCTAACATCCAACCTAAACTTCCCTTGCTGCACCTTGAGACTGTTGCTCCTTGTTCCTTGAGGACCTGCTGCATGTTTTTTTCCAGGGACTGAGGTGAGGCTGACTCGTCTGTAGTTCCCTGGATCCTCCTTGCTTTTCTTCAAGATAGATTCTATATTTATCTTTTTCCAATCATCTGGGACCTCTATCCATTGCCATGAGTTTTCAAAAATAATGGCCAGTGGCTCTGCAATCACATCAATCAACTCCCTCAGCACCCTTGGATGCATTGTATCTGGCCCTATGGACTTGTACACATCCAGCTTTTCTAAATAGTCTCTAATGTGTTCTTTCACCACTGAGGGCTGCTCACCTCTTCCCCAAACTGTGCTGCCCAGTGAGATAGTCTGGGAGCTGACCTTGCCTGTGAAGATTGAGGTAAAAAAGTACAGTAATTGAGTACTTCAGCCTTTCCCTCATCATCTGCCACTAGGTTGCCTCCCCCATTCAGTAAATGACCTGCATTTCCCCCAGTCTTCCTCATGTTGATGCCATACTTGTAGAAACCCTTCTTGTTGCCCTTCATGTCCCTCACTAGCTGCAACTCCAATTGTGCTTTGGCCTTCCTGATTTCATCCCTGCATGACCTAGTCATCGGTCCGATCTTCCACTTCTTGTAAGCTTCCTTTTTGTGTTTAAGTTCACTGAAGTGTTCTCTGCTAAGCCAAGCTGGTCATCTGCCATATTTGTTATTCTTCCTACACAATCTTAATATGAAAATATCTTAAACCATATGAAAATATGACTTGTAAAAGCATGATGTTTGTCTCCAGCAGACTGAAATCGCTTAAATACGAACAATTAACAAAAATTCAAGAAGTTTGTCCCCTTAAATTCATTTGAAATATGTAGAAATTGTGAATAAATAAATAGCCTGTTATATCAGTGTGGTAACATGAAGGAACTGCCTAATAGTCTTAATTGCAAAAAGAAAACTTTATATTGTATCTCTGATCTCTGCACTTTCCCAAGGGCTTTTAGACCAAGACCGCTTAAATTGGATAGGATATGCTAGTCTTATTTTATACCTTTTGGAACCTTTTCATGTTTCCTTAAAAGGACATCCTTTAAGAACACCCCAGAGAAACAGCAGTTGCAGCTTTCAGTAGAAGACAGTTTTTCTACCTTCACAGCTAAATGAGTTATGATGTCATAAAAAAAATGAATTTGGGGTATGAGAAGCCAAGGAAATTTAAGTGAAATGCTTCCAATGCTTAACAATATTATGTTGTCATTGGAGCTGCTTCAGATTTTTTAGTTTACCCACTCCCAAATGTTTTGTGAAATATCTCTTATTCACACTTCCATTAGATTATTGTTATGTTCCTGATCAAATCTTTCTCCTGCCAGACAGATTTCCTGGTGGGCTTCTGGGGAGTTTTGACCTCCAGGCTCTGCAGATCTGGGACTTCTGGGCCAGTAGGATGTCTTTGCCCCCTTGTTCCTGAGTTAATGGTAGTGTTAAATTGACATGACTACCAAATTGCATCAGCAACTGCTAGGGTCCCCGTGAGAATATTTTGTTTTGGAAACACCATTTGTTGATGTTCTTGATGCAGTAACTTGGTTTGCAGAAAATTTTGAAGAATTAGGCTTTGTTTGGAGGCAGAATGAAAACAAATATCAAATTTTCTTATGAACTAAAAATCCTGAGTTTTACCTGGTTTTAACAATCAGCACTTGTTGATGGATAAGAGCAGTAATATTGTGTCTGTTGAGTATATATATTTTTAAGTGATTTTATTATTTTAAATCTTTCATATTACTACATAACCATTTATTAAAGGCCACATAGTTTTTGATCTTTAAATAAAACAGAATTGTTGTCAACTGAGGTTAGAAACACAGTTTTCATTTTTTCAGAACAATTTTTTTAAATTTAATCGTTCAAAATTCCAGTAAAAATATCTTTTTAAACCATGGAAAACTAAAAGTCATGCACTATGGTACTGAGTATCAGAATGCAAAACCAACTATATAAACAAAGATAATACTGAGATCAATAATTTTCATTGTCAGTGCTGACAAAAGTATAAGAACTGTATGAAGAGCATAATTATGGGCAACTAAATTGGCTTTTAAAAACTCCTCCACCTCTAATCCTTTGCAGTAGGAACAGAGGTAAATTTGTCTGCGACATAATCAAGTGTTTTAGTGTCTCTAATTATTTTAGCAAAATCATACAATAGATATCAAACCATTTTCCATTCTTCCTAGGTCCTTGGGCTCAAATTCCCTAATCTCTTTGGACGTGCAGAGAAGGTGACCTTCCAGTTTTCCTATGGAACTAAGGAAACTTCATATGGCCTATCATTCTTCAAACCACAGCCAGGCAACTTCGAAAGAAAGTAGGGAGCACACCATTTTTAAAAATATAATACTGTTGAGACGTATAAAATTAAAGTAAGGTTATATTCTGAAAAGTAACAGAAATATTTAATAAGTTTCCACAATTTATTCTTAATGCTTTATACTGATTTTGTGTGAAAGCACCACAAGTTAAGGAAAAACTGCTTGCTTATGCTATGATATATTGGGCCTAGTCTCTTGATGTTGTTGTTGTTGTTGTTGTTGTTGTTTTGTTTTGTTTTTTTCTCAAGGGTAAAGATGGTTTTCCTTACAGCCAGCCCTGCAAACTTAGCTTGGGACCTGGATGTCACTGAGGTTCTTTCTGGCTAATGGTTAGTCGCCAGGGAAAAAAGATTCTGTAATAGGAATTTAATTATGTAGAGAATCTGCAAGCCAGTTTTTTCTCATATAGTTGTGTTGGCTGTAAATGAATAGGTCTGTATGTAGTGAAAAATTGCTTTTATTACAAGAATAATCAGATGAGATTCAGAAACTGCAAGGGAGCAAGTATGCTGAGTGAAGAAGCTTTTTAATTTCTTGCCTGGTAAGAACTTCACTTTGAGATGTTTAACTGTAAAATTGAACAGTTTTTTTTATTAATCTCATGAAAAATAGAGTTATCATGGCAACCTAGGTATTAAAGTGGTAGCAATATTGCAGTTGTTAAAATGGGTTACAAGTAATTGTAAGCAAAATATGATTTGAGAATCACATTTCATTCAGAATCCCCCGGGGGGGGGGGTTTTCCCCCCACTGTCAGCTCAAGAAAATTAAGTAAATTAGGGCTGTCTAACTGACAGACTGCGTGCAGCCTGGGAAGGCTTCAGTTGTAGTCACTGATCTCTTACCCAACTGTCTGTCCCAACATTGTTCTGGCTGCAGCACCAGCCAGTCCCTGAACTCTCCCTCCTGCCCCTGTGCAGTATGGCAGTGTGGGTGGGGAGTGGGGACACAACAGGATAGGGCAGGGGTGTCCCTGTGCCATGCAGCCTGGGGGCCTATGGCTCATCCTGGTGGCATGTGGGGGGGCATGTGGCCCCCAGCCTCTTAGAAGTTGGACAGCCCTGGAGTAAATTAAATGGTTAATTTGGTTTGCTTTTCTGTATGCAGCAGTGAAATCTGGTCTCCCTTTTCAAGTATCCTGGGGAGTGTAGACAGCGTGATATTTCCCATTTACGCCGACGCAACTGCATTTGTGTTTGCACGATCTGGGATTTCCCACCGCTCTAAAAGGCCATTTAGCACCTAAAACTAACGCTACTCGCAGATGTGCTGTTTTGCATCACTGTAGTTACACTGCCCCAGCTATGGATTTGTTTCGTCCAAACAGCCACTGATTCCAAAGACTTGCAATTAATCACCTGTGCCACCAGGTGGCGCAGTGTTCTGGCCTTTAGCCAGCAGATGCTGCTGTTATTTGCTGCTGTTTATACATTTTTTTTGGTTTCTGCTCATCCTTCCTTCCCCCTTCCCTCCCCCTGCTCCCACAGGGACAGGGCAGGAGAGGCGGGGGTTCCCTCTGAAGGCAGCATAGGGCCAGTGCCTTTGCTCACAGAGGCTGAGTGGGCAGGAGATGCTGCTTGGGTGGGAGGAAGGAGGAGGAAGAGGGGCTGTGGCCAGCAACCCCCTTCCCTGTGCTGTGTCCGGGAGAGTTTTTTAAATGCAAGCCAAATGGTTTCCTGCCCAGGTTTGTTTTAAACATGACTGCCACTAGGTAGGAACTACAGTTCCCAGAATACCTAGCACAGCACATGTCTAATGGGAGCTATTTGAGATTTTGCTTTGATTGGCTGCCAGAGCAGGGGTGCCCTCCTATCAGAAGCATAAGGCAGGGCTGGGGTGGGGTAGGGGCTGGGGGTTGGGAGTGAGGGGCACGGTGGAGCTATGGTGGGGGGGGCAGGGGGCTGCAGATCAAGATTGTGTGTGTGAAATACCTCCAGTGCAATAAGCTTGCATGCTGGTCTCTAGGTGCGTGAACAAAAGCAATGGAGCTCTGCCTAGGTGATAGTTGGCATCTTTGAAATGTAAGAAGCCAGGGCTTTTTTAGTGGATGGTAGCTAGCCTGACTGGGTGGGCAAACCAGCTTTTCTTCTGTTCAGGCATCAGTGACTCACAATCTATTCACAGAATGATTTTGGTTCTGCAAAGGCAATTTTTGTCAATTATTCCATCCAGTGATTTGATACTTTTTTTATCTACACGTGTCTGCAGTAGATCACTTCTGATATTAACAAACTTAAGTCTAATTCATTTCTAAATTCTATTTCAATTTCTTCCTCTACTTTACCCCTTCTGTTCTCTGAGAGAAGTTTCAGAAATAGGACATTAAATATTGCAGTTTTTCTTACCATCTGCTGTTTCATTTTGAGTTGTCTTGATTCAGCTATCTCTCTACCTCTCTGTGGCAGAGCACCTTTGGTGTTTGCTATTTCAAGAGCGTGAATAGGCATCTGACAGGTGCGGCTCTAGCTCTGAGTGGCCATTTTAAGATTCAGACCAGCAGGCCTGGAGGCATCAGTCTGCTGCCTGGCACCAAGGAAACAACATCTCTTGGTGGAGCTGCTGCTCCAGTAGCACTAGGAGGTAAGGGCAGGAGCTTATGAGGATGGCTAGGAGGCTCCTGGTCCTAGGCATGACCTAAAACTGCACCCTGCCATGGACATATAGCCTGGTGGGGCTCCTAGTGGTGTGGGAGCCCCCAGGCAACACCAATCCAGTTTCTCCTCCTTGCCTTTCACTGGGGAGGTGCCGTAACCCCAGCATCCACCTTCGGGTGTGTTATTTATCATCGGTGGCATTAGAGGGCCAGGCACGGCTGTGGCCACCTGAGCCCATGTGGGGGGTGCAAGACCCTGGAGAGTGAGAGTGGTGGGCCAGGCACGCTGGTGAATGACACCTGAGCGTGTGGGGGGGGTGTTTGATCCCCAGGCCCCAGGATGGGGGGTAGAGTATGGGTCTCAGTGGAGGTGCAGAGCAGGGTGCAGAGGGGCACTGGATGGCCTGCACCTGAGTGACAGTTGGGAGGCCCTGGAGAGAGGGGCAAGTGGTGAGGCCCTGTGAACATGAGGGCCTGAGATGAGGCCCCATGAGGAGGGGGCGTGAAGTGGGCCCTAGTGAGCAAGGGGTATGAGGGTAGGTCTTGCGAATATGGGGACTGAGTTAGGTCCAGGTAAGCCTTCAGGCACCTGAGGCCACAGATGGGCCAGTGGACAATTGGGTGGGGCAACTGAGGAAGAGCCCCAAGTAAACAACAGGGTGAGTCAGGAGCCCCTGATTGACAGCAGCTGGGTAAGTGACCCAGCGAGAGACCAGAGGCAGAGCCAGTCCAGTGTTCTGCAAATGACCCAGAACTCGCTTGGATGAGGGCCACGGGAGAGGCCCAAGAGGCTGTGTGCTTGCTGGCCAGGGAGTGCAGGGAAACAAGCCTAAGGACCCTCTGGGTGAGGGCAGGTTGAGTGAGGCCCTGTGGAAAAGGAGGGGTGGTATGAGTGTGGCCTCGTGGGGCGCAGTAAGAGAGACCATGCAAGAGGCGGTGGAGTGAGAGAGGCCTCAATGAGGTAGCTGGTACAAGTGCGGCCTGTACAGGGCAGAATGCGAGAGCCTAACTCTGTCCTGAGCTGGGCCCGGCCTTAGGCTGGAGCAGAGCACAGCTTTTAGGAGCATCTGTGAGGCTTGGGATGCAGTACAGGGATGGTTGGAGCTGCATACTTAGGCCCAGGATAACAGGGCATTTAAAGGGCAGCCTCCCGCCTAATTAAGACCCTATTCATTTAACAGCAAAGTGTAGTAGGCAAGAGAGGTGGGTGGTGTGCCCAGAGGAAGGTGGGAGACTAGCACTGTGGTTGGTCGGTGAGTTCCCACTTCGCCACACTCTCGTAAGCTCTCCTTGGAAATAACTAAGGGTATGTCTGTCTACACTGTACTGACTGCAGTATAGCAAATCCGCACCAAAGCCATCTTTTACCCCATTTTCTGTCTGCTTAATCCCTGCTTGGAGTGTATTCTGTGACTTCATATGCAGAACAGTTTGCAAAAGAGATTGGGAAGGATTGTGTAGTCAACAACACCAAGGTTTGAATGAATTTTTCACATTTGATGCTGCTGTATTTACTCAAATCTTAGTGACCTAATCTGAGAATTTCAAAGCTGCTATGAGATTTGGACATTCACTTTGCACTAATTTTAATAGAGAATCCCGAGTCCAAATGCCTCATATAACTCTGAAACATGAGCAGAATTGACAAAGTTGTTTGAAAGGGAGAGCATCCAGCAATTTAAAAGTTGTAAAATGTCTTTATTGCATTTTGTAGAATGTTTGAGTCGGTGAACTTGTCTGAACAGAAGAAAAACCGGTTTGCCTACCTAGTCAGGCTAGCTACCATCCACTAGAAAGCCCTGGCTTTTCACATTTTAAAGAGGGCAATTATCACCTAGGCAGAGCTCCATTGCTTTTGTTCTCTCACTCAGAGACCAACATGCAAGTTTATTGCACTAGAGATATTTACACACACACACACACAATCTTGATCTGCACCCTCCCCCCACACCATAGTGCCACTCACTCCTGATCCGCATCCCCTAATACGATAGATAGGAATCCTATTACCTGCCTGGAGAATTCTCTTAGGAATCCTAAACCTGCCCGGGCGCAGCACAAGGATGGGGCTGCTGGCCACAGTCCCCCTATCCCTCGGGCAGCATCTCCTGGCCGCTTAGCCTCTGGAGCACAGGCACCGGCCCCTGGGCTGCCCATCAGAGGCAACACCAGCCTCCTGCCCTGTAGCAGCCCCTGCCTCCACCCTGACCAAATGTCAGGGTATTTGGCTCCCCCTGCTGGAATTTGCCTGCAATTACACATGGGACTTAAATTGCTCGAGAGCAGCGTATCATCCAAACACAAGCACCGTGTTGTGCAAACACAAATGCAATGTACCAAAAAAAAGCCACATTAAAATTTTCAGGTGCTCTGCATTAATGCCAGTGTCGTCTACACACACCCTATAAGAATGCAACAGCTTCCTTTCTATTAAAAGCAGAACTTACAAAATGAAAACATTAGTCATTGTTCTCAGTTGCTTAATTTATCAACTGTAAATTGAACCACAGATGTATCCTAATCTAGATTTTTTTTTCTTTGTGATACAAACAGCTGGCTACCAAAGTGTTAATTGAAGGCAGGGGCACAAAACTAACAGTTAAGCTTTTAAATTGTACATTAGACTTCTAATAAATCCATACGAATGCTGAGGCTTATGCAGTGTATTTTGACCAGTTAAACCTGCATTTTGCAGGTACCTGTTACACAAACAGGTGGCCTCCAACAATAGCATGACATAGATTGCTTCCTAAGAAAAAACTTCATAAAATTTTACTTCCTTTAATTTCCACTCTTCAGATCTCCATGTATTGTTATGTTTTAGTTTTTCAGTAAACCTGTATAAAGTAACCGGACAGTTTCCTTGGAGCTCTCTTCGTGAAACTGACAGAGGAGTATCAACAGAATTTAATGTAAGCAGTAGCACATCTGTTGCTCATTTTATTGCAGACATGAATGGCGTGTACCCCCGGCGGCTGGGGGAGCATGGCTGTGCCGGCGGTGGTGGGAGGGCAGCGACAGCAGGAGCCTGGTGGTGGTGAGCGGGGAGCTCCCACAGACACCACCAGGGGCACACACCATGGGTTGGTGACCACCCGCAAGCAGCAGCCAGAGGTGATCAAGGATCACCTTATTCCAGGGGGTGTACTGTCACGCGCAAGGGGTGCATGTGCACCCACGGGCATCTCCTATGCGTTACCCCTGATTGCAGAAACTTGTGGAATAGGAATTCACCTTTAATTCAGTTCAAGGTTTAGGTGCCTAGCTTTCCATTTTATTTTTAGATTTCTAAAATACGCTTTTTTTTTTTTATGTGCTCATGGCAGTGATAGATTTGGCTTAACATGAAAGAGAACGTCAATTCTGAGATGATCTGTGAAAAGATTAAAAAGTACTATTTGGGATCGAATGTCACTTCACCAGTAGCTTAAAAGGAAATATAGGTTTAAGTTTACAAAATATGAAGCCTTTTCAGAGAGGTGGCTAGCTGCCTGAGAGATTGTATCAGCACAACTGGAAATGTTCTTTATTTGGGAGAAGGTTGTTGTGTGAGCCAGTTCATATCTTGGCTTGGGCAGAGTGAGTGTTACTCTGAAGTAAAAAATGAGTTTCCCATCTTAAATTAGTGTAGCAATTTGGAAAGGGTAAGTACCACCCATCTGCCATGTGTAGAAACAAGGCTTCAGAAAATTTTTATCAGTGTGTTGCTGGTATTTTATAACACTGCCTTTTTTTCATGTACTGCTCATATGTCTTTGTAGTTTCCAATATGGAAGACATATCACACGCTCAAGTGGGAAGGTGTCTGGAGAGAGCTTGGATGTCTCGCAAGAACAGCATCTTTTCCTGTTCGAGAAGAAAGTGGACACTCTCTTAAATCTTCTCTCTCTGTAAGGCTTTTTCAGATCCTAAATGGTATATAAACTTTTTGGAATATGACAGTACCTTGTTAATGATGTGCAGTTACCTTGTCAGTGGTGCCAGGAGAGTGTTTTTGGCACCCTTACTGGAGACTAACACAAAAAAATTATTGGATTATTATTTTTTTACTGAGATACTGCCTAGTTTGACTGTATTTAACCAGTCACTGAGAAGGTCACTAGATGAAATACTTATTTTGCTTGACTTTTGAATTTGGAATAGCTTAGAGCAGTGGTGCTTAAATTTTTTCCCTGGTGGGCTAGTTGGGCAGCACCCTGTCCGTCTGTGGGCTGGTTTCTGCCAGTGGTCCTGATCCAGCACTGGGGCCGGCACAGCAAGCACCATCCAGCCACATGGAAGGGGTGAGGGGCAGCCCAACTGTAACCCCGTCCTGTGGAGGAAGGGGAGTGTGGCTTGGCCCCTCAGGGAAAAGCGTGTGTGGCTGGGCCCTGCAGGGGGAAAGGAGGCATGGCCTAGCCTCAACCTAGCCTGGTGGGGGAGGGGAGAAAGAAAGGGGATGCGGCTTGCCTTTCAGCTGGGATAAGAGGGTGTGGCCTGTGGGGGAAGGTGCATGACCTGCCCCCCAAACCAGCCCCTAGGCTTGGGGGGACAGATGTGGCCTGTCCCTGATCCAGATGTGGGGGAGGGGGTGTGGCCCAGCTGCAACTGGGCTTAGGGTTTGGGAGTTTGGTGTGGGGAGCGTGACCATATTAATGGTTTGAGTTTCCCACTGCACTGGAAGCCCTGGGAGCCACTGTGTGGTGGGAGGTGGGGGTTGAGCTGGGACTGTGCTGGGCGCATGGTGGCAGCGGCACTGGGAGGGAGCTATGGTAAAATGGGGTGGCTGCAGCCTCTTCTGTAGCCCCTGTTCTGAGCCCAGCCCCTGGAGAGAAGAGCCCGTTTCCAGTCTGCAGCTTCAGCCCACCCGCTTGCCCCACACAGATCCGGGGGGCACATCCTGCCCCCACCCTCCCCGGGTGCAAGCAGCAGCAGGAGCTGTCCCCCTCAGATGAGCCCTCTGTCGTGCACCCTGCCCCAGCTGGGCAGTGCCTGTCCCCTCCCTCGCTGTGGGGATGGGGAAGAGTTGATCTGCCCCCCTCCCCTTCCACGGCAACAGACTTACCAGCTGGAGGCAGCTCTCCACACTACATTGGAAATTGGATCAGTATCGGCCAATATGCGTCCTTAAAAATTGGATATCTGTATTGGCCCCAAAAATCTCTATTGGTGCACCCCTAGAAAGTGTGGCATAAGATGCAGTGAATTTGCTGGAACGTGGTAGCTGCTATATTTCTGGAGCCTTCTCATGCTAGTTAAATAATTGTTGAATCTTTTTCAGCATGCCATGGTAATCGATTCTCGGAACTCTTCAATCTTGCCAAAACGAGGTGCTCTGCTGAAAATTAATCAGGTAGTGTTTAATTTACCAGTAGCTGCTAACATAGATGCGGTGCATGTGCATGCAGAAGGGGCTTATTTTGTTGCTTCCTGGTACTCATTTCTGACTATGTATTTTTAACACAAGTATCAGTCAGGGTAAACAGTAGGCCTGTGCGAAGTGGCTAGTATTTGGTTCGGATTCGGCCAATTTGGGGGACAGTGATTCAATTTGGTGATTTGAATCACTGGCCCAAATTGATTCAGTTGAATCTAATTCAGAGATTTGGCTGCTGCCGTATCTCCAAATCGAACAGGTCCTATTCTCCTCTCTCCCAGCCTAGTCAATGGCCCCCCCCCCCCGCCCCCACACTTGGGCCCATTTAAAAAAAAAAAAAAAAAAAAAAAAGCCCCACACTCACTGGCTCTTGCCAGGTGGCGGAGTGATCCTCGCTGCCCTGCACTGCGTGGTGGGGCTCGGCCCCGACAGCCGCTGCAGCAGCCAGTGATTGTGGGGCTTTTTTTTTAAAGCGCTGGGATGCTGGGGCAGGTGGGACAGCCTTTGATGAGGCTGGGAGAGCCATCGGGGGGTGCTCAGGTGGGTTCAGGGAGTAGGCAGGGGATGCAGCCTGGTGGGGGTCCCCCCCATGGTCCCTCCCTGTTGGCTACAAATGTCCAACTCGGGATCCTTAAAATTCTAGTTTATTAGGCGGATTGAAACACTGTAATCATAAACCTTGGGGCTGGTACACACACACACACACACACACACACACACACACACACACACACACACACACACACACACACACACACACACACACACACACACACACA